CTCTTCACTATTGGGAGGGTATCTTACTTCTTGCTCTGGATACCATGACTGTTTAATGTCACAATGTCTATTTTATATAACAGCATAGTTGAATTTTTTGTATTAATTTGCTTCCTCATGATGGATGGTCCAGGGTAGAAAATGTTGGGTCAGTCTATCCAAAAAGAACTAACTATAACAATGTTTGTTTTTAAGAATTATCCTGTTTATCAACATATGTATAAATGAAATCTTTGCCCTGATGGGAAAGGAGCTCCTCTGTGTTCTGCTCTCAGGCAGTAATTATCCTTGAAGCTCCCTTCACCTTTTCATACCTTAGATGTTCTCATAATACCCACTCAATAGTTCGCCTTCTAAGTCAGATAAAATAGAGGGCCAGGAAGAAGAAAATTGGGCATATGGCTAGATAGTTACTATTCATCCTATAAGGGTTCAAATCACTATTTTTATTGTTATTTTTATTTTTTTAATCCTCACCCGAGGATATTTTTCCATTGATTTTTAGAGAGAGTGGAAGGGGGAGAGAGAAGCATCGATGTGAGAGACATCAATTGATTGCCTCCCACACCCGCCCCTACCGTGAATCAGACTGAGCCTGCAACTGAGGTACGTGCCCTTCAGTCCAAAGGCTGATGCGCTATCCACTAAGTCATGCTGGCCAGGGCCACATCATTATTTTTCAATGTATAATTTAGTATAGAGAGTTTAGCATCAATTTTGTTTCATCCCATGCACCTATAGAGTAAAAATGTGATTTATAATATCTTTAGTATAACAAACTTACACCAAAAAGTAATTAGGCTTCCAAGTTTATTATAATGACATTTTAACAAAACATTATTCATTTTGAAATATGGGCTCTTACATTGAATTAAACAGGTTTTGATTATCTGAAAAGGTATTTTATTTAAAGAAAGGTACAACTTCATGATCTAGGGAATAGTTACTTGTAAATTATAAGTTTATAATTGAATACTGGCTTAATTGAATACAGTTATAATTGAATACTGGCTTAATTGAATACAGTTATAATTGAATACTGGCTTAAGTTTTTATTATATAAGACATTTAATTTTAGTATTTAAAACAGTGATCTATACTTTAAAAAAAAAAGAGTTTAATACAGGCATACTTGGAGATATTGCAGGTTCAATTCCAGGCCGTCGCAATAAAGTGAGTACAGGCATACTTCAAACATATTGCGGATTTGATTCCAGGCCACCATAATAGTGAGTATCTCCTTAGAACAAGCCGTAATCTTTTTGCTGGTGGAGTGTCTTGCCTTCAGTTTGTAATAAGAATAGGTATGCCTTTATACAAATTGACCTTTGCCCTTCTTTGATTCTCTTATAATGGTATATATTGCTAGTTTCCTTATTTGGAATGCATAATAGTCTTTAACTACACCTCTTCCTCATTTTTTTGGTAGAGAGTCCTTGTTTCAAAATGGGAAGAAAAGCACTTAGAACTCTTAAGTTCTTATCTGTCCCTTGTTTGTACCATATCATGTTTTTTCTTCTTTGTCTTAATTTTAGGGACCTTTACCTTAAAGTGACCATCACAAATAGAAATATCAAGTTAAACCTAACAAGAGATTTCTGCCCAAAAGGCAACACCCTGGTCCAGGGGTGGGCAACCCCTGGCACACGTGCGAAACATGGCACGCCAGTAACTTTTGCTGGCATGCGAAACCCTCTCTTATAATCTTCCATTTACAATTTTTTTCTTAATATCGCCTTTTTTATTTTTCAGATAAATTCAGTGTAGGTGCATCTTAGATAAATAAATGATTTTACATGACAAGTTATCTTAAAGACCACAGACATGGATTGACGAGAGAGGGGAAGAGCAGTTTATATGCCTCTGTCTTAACTCTCCCTGCCTTCCTAGATCCGACCAGTGTTTTGGTTTCATCCACATACACTTGTGAATCTTTGTTCTCAGTGATGAATTTTGTAAAAGGAGTAGCCTGACAGATGAAAGTAGTAGCTCGTGCATATCTCTGAAGTTCACAAAATATAAACCTGATGTAAAATCTCTGTCATCAGTGATGCAGCAGCAAAAGTCCCACTGATAATATTAAATGGAGTCATAAAGTTTCCTGTTGGACTATAAGTATACATGTATACATTAAAAAATAATGTATTTTTCATCATCAAATAACTGTTTTTGTCGCTCAAATGAATTTTATTATTTCTTCAAAGTTCTTCACATATGTACACCTTAAGAGATATCAAGTAGGCGTAACATGTTCTCAAAAAATTAGGTTGGCACACAGAAGAATTTTGAGTCAGAGATTTTGCTGGTTTTGGCACACTCTCACAAAAAGGTTGCCCACCCCTGCCCTAGTTCCAACAGTGTACAAAGGATCAGTACTGGCCTATCAAACCAACTAAAGGTAGCACATGAAACACCCACAGATATTAGCCACAGAGGTGCAAAGGCCTTTAAATTTTATATATATATATGTGTGTGTGTGTGTACACACACACACACACACACACATATGTATACATGTATATATATATGCTATTTATCCTTTAATGTCTTTAAAATATAATATTTGATACAAACTAAAAAAGTATAATATCTAAGTTTAAAATATAGCTATGATCCTATATTGTACTAATGATTTCATACCTGTATGAAAATGTTCAGGTAAACTCGTGTGTAGGAAAGAATTTATGGATCTAAAAATAAAGTCACTCACCACTTAGAATGTGGTGAATATATGTAATATAACGAATATATCAACTATAAATTTTCTCCTTTTTTAATCTATTTTTATTGATTTCAGAGAGAGAGAGGGAGAAAGAGATAGAAGCATCAATGATGAGAGAGAATCACTGATCAGTTGCCTCCTCCATGCCCCCTACTGCAGATCAAGCCTGCAATCCAGGCATGTGCCCTGACCAGGAATTGAACTGTGACCTCCTGGTTCATAGGTCGATGCTCAACCACTGAGCCACACCAGCCAGGCTCAACTGCTAATTTTAAACTATTAACATTACAAATGTAATTGCGGAAAATAAAACTCAAATAATATCTGTTTGGATTTTCTGTATTTTGCCTTATAGATAGTGATTTATATGTGTTGACTACAAGATTTTTTTCAATTTTTTATGGTGGTAAAATACACATAATATAAAGTTTACCTTCTTAACCACACTTAAATGTATGGTTCAGTGGTATTGAATAAATTCATTACCCCCATACATCTTCATAACTTTTTTATCTTGTAAAATTGAAATTTTCTATAATGAAATAATAACTGCCCATTCACCCCTTCTCCCAGACCTTGGCAACCACCATTCTACTTTTTGTCTCTATGATTTTGACTATTCTAAGTATCTCATATAAGTCTAATCATACAATATTTATCTTTTTTGTGACTGGCTTAGCATAATGTTCTCAAGGTTCATCCATGTTATAGTATGTGTCAGAATCTCCTTCCTTTTTAAGGCTGAATACTATTCCATCATGTATGTATACCACATTTCACTTAACCCTTCATCCATCCGTGGATATTTGGATTGCCTCCATATTTTAGCTATTGTGAATAATGCTGCTATGAACACGGATGTACAAATATCTCTTCAACACTCTGTTTTCAGTTTTTTAGGGTATATATACCCAAAAAATAGAATTGTTGGATCATATGGTTATTCTACTTTTAATTTTTTGAGGAACCACTATACTGTTTTCCATAGCAGTACATTTCCAAAAAAGTACCATTTTATATACCAACAGGGCATAAGAGTTCCAATTTCTCAACATCCTCAACATTCTGTTTTTCTTTTTCTTTTTAAATATTTTTTTTTTATTGATATTTTACAGAGTGGAAGGGAGAGGGATAGAAAGCTAGAAACACTGATGAGAGAGAAACATCGATCAGCTGCCTCCTGCACACCTCCCACTGGGGATGTGCCTGCAACCAAGGTACATGCCCTTGACCGGAATAGAACCCGGGACCCTTCAGTCCACAGGCCAACGCTCTATCCACTGAGCCAAACCGGTTAGGGCCCATTCTGTTTTTCTTTGTTTGATAGTAGCCTTGTAGTTTTGTGAAGTGATATTTCCTTGTAGTTTTGATTTGAATTTCCAAAATGATTAGTGATGTTGAACATCTTTTCATGTGCTTTTTGGCCATTTATATATCTTTTTTAGGGAAATGTCTATACAAGTCCTTTGCCTATTTTTTAATTGGGTTGTTTGTTTGTTAATGTTGGTTGTTGAGTTTTACAATTTCTCTATATATTCAGGATATTAATCCTTTATCAGATATATTATTTGCAAATTTTTTTTCCGTGGATCGTTTTTCACATTGTTGATATTTAGAATTCTAAACCTACTGTCAAGTGAACTGTCTTTTACCCCCCTCTTTTTAAGTATTTAAAAATTTCATTGACATTTTAGGGTCTTCTAGCTGCTATTTGAGTTTGATAGTAGCAAGAATGGACTCTGATCCTAAACTACTAGTTAAATGTTGTTTTGAGCTAAGTACTATGCTATTTTTAATAAAGAAAATCAAATCTGAGAAGAGAAGGAAGAGAAAGAACTACTTTTTAGGATCCAGACTTTGAGAACTTGTACCGACCAAACATTTACTATAGTTTAAAATTAATTATTTACAAATGAAGATAACAGTGGTGGTTTAAGTTTTTGTGAGCTAAGTGTAAACTGGAGTTTTCTTATGCCCAGTCTCAACCTGCATTTTCAAAGAGCAGTAAACCAGACTTCTAATGAATATGATTTGCTGGGCAGTGCTTAAATATATATAAAATACTTTCTACCTAGTCCCCATCATACATATTTATATACATGGGCATATGTTTTCTTTTACATAAGTGTATGTCTATATGTATATAAATTTTCAAATAAACAAATGCAAAAGTATACATGGTATCTAGCTTACAGGATTAGAAATGTAATTTAGTTTACTCCCCCAGAATAAGATTGAAGATAATGAGAAGTGAATTAAAGCTTACTTTCTTTCACAGAATTCCTCAGAGAGAGAAGACTGTAATAATGGCGAACCCCCTAGGAAGATAATACCAGAGAAGAATTCACTTAGACAGGTATGAAATTCAGTCTTACTTAAAAGGTTATCAACTAAACAAAAGATAGGAAACCCTTAATTTGCCATTCATTAAACATGGGAGCTTAAATTAAGAGTACTTTGAAGTTGGTGTGGCTATAGCCACCAATTTCAATCAGGTAACATTGTTTTCCCAATCTTTAAAAATATCCTAGATATCCCAACTGTGTAGCTCTGTTGGTAGGAGTGTCATCCCATACACCAAGAAGACTGCAGGTTCCATCCTGGGCCAGAATTCGTACAGGAGGCAGCCCTTTGATGTTTCTCTCTCTCTCTCTCTCTCTCTCTCTCTCTCTCTCTCTCTCTCGTCCCCGCTCCCTCTCCCTTCTCTTTCTAAAATCAATAAATATATCCTCAGGTGAGGATTAAAACTATATAGTATATATCTTAGGAATACAATTGCTAACCAGTAGTCAAAACAAAATCAAAGAAAAGGTTTCTTTTTTAGGAAAAATAACTTGAAATGCTTCTTAAGTACAGATAGCAGAATAGTTGCCTTTAAACCTTATTTCCCCTTTAAGATTCTCCATACATTAAAAAAAATTAATAATCAGAAGGGATCTGCCTATAGTGAGTTAGCTCCTTCTAATCTGATCAATATTTGTTTGCCTTTCCTGGACATAAAGGCCATTATTGATGACAACTTTAAAAAACTTTTTTACTCACCACTGTCCTCACACTCCACATATAACACACTGAAAGTTCAATTCCATAGTGTATTTTTTTTAATTAAAATGTTAAAAAAAAATTGGTCAAAAATATTTGTTCTTCTCAACTGCCTGTAGCAGCAAATTCTAACATCTTCAACCTCCCATTGGCAACAAAAACAAAGTCTTAGCGTTGTCAGAGAATAGGTATAACACCTATTCATTTATTTTTTTTGACATGTGACATCTTTTTTTGTATTTTTTTAATTGAAAAATTACCTCATCTATTCATTTTTAATATAACATTGGACAAGATGGTCACCAGAAGTCTAGTAAGAATAATTTTAATTTATGGCATTATTCCAGGAAAAAGGAGATCTAATATTTGTTGAGTAACCACCATGAGCCTCATACTTATTTCATTTAATCCTCATAATAATCCTGTAAAGTTGTTAGGTGTGATTTCTTATGGATAGATACAGAAAATGAGGCTTAGAGAAATAGGTGGCTTATTTAGCTAGTCAGTGATTTGAAACCCAGATCTCTGTTGTCAAAATGTTTCTACTTCTGCCCTCTGACTCCAGTTTGTATTCAGTGTTCATTTAGGGGAAACGTACTTGCAACTGTGACACTCATTTTTTATTTGCTATATGTTACACCTTTATTTAGAGAAAAACACCTGATCTGTAAATGTAAATAAATAATATTCAATATTTAGAGCAATATTGAATAAGATAAATTTGTAGATGGAAACAACTGTCAGCAAACAATGACATGACAAAAAGTTTTGGCAACTTTATTTAAGCTAACAAACGAATTTTCACTCTGCAAAGTTATAAATTAATTTTAATAGGCTGATCCAGATGGTCCATTTGGAAAATGGATAGGCTGATCTGTTGAAAATTAAACTAAATTTATCTCTCTCATACTTCAAACTGAAGCAAGAGAGAGAATCGTGCCTATTAAGTCCAGCACATACAGATGGACCAGCAGGTCACACATGGGACTAATCTATTCATTTTAAAAATAAATGCATACATTATTAAATCATTTTCTACTTGCAAGATCTGTTGTGTGCAGTATTTGAAAGAAATGTTGTTTTGTTTTCATTGCTTTTTAGCAGGTTCACTCCACTTTAATTTAGCCATTTTTGTCTTTTTCTTCCTCCTAGTGCTCCAAAATGATTTTTCTGATACTGTCAGTGTTGAGGTCCAAGCTCTGGAGATTATTTAGGTCATGAGGCTCTCCCCACCCCCTTTCTTTGTAAAGGGTTTTATCTCCATTCTTTTTGTGAAGAGCATGAACTCAGTGTTTTTGGAAAGAGAAATGGCCTTTAGAAACAGGGAAGTAGGAGATCCTCTTGGGGCCCTCAGAGTCTTTTAGCTTCTGGGTGTTTTAACAGCCCCATGAATGCAGATTTGTAAATTTATTGCAGTGCCATCTGGTTTTTTGCTCGAACCAGATTACTGTTGGCTTGTGTCTGTCTATTGTGGTGGTCACTCCCTAGGAGCTTGCCCTCTCAATCTTAGGGAAGAGTGATGAATATCAGGGGTCAATAGAAATGGGTCACAGGGCAGCTGTCCAAGACTGCCCTGAACTTGATTAACCCACTGTTGATTTTTTAAAATACAGGACATACTATATAAGCTGTTTAAACTCGCTTTTCTCTATTGCATATGACAATAAAGAAGTGTCATTTGCTTGTGTTACCCCCACCCCTGCTTTAGTAAAATTATGTAGATAAAAAGAAGCTAAGGCTGCCTTTTACATAGTATTGTTGTAAGTAGGATTTGCTTGTAGGCCAATCCCTTAATGTGAAATTCTTTTGCAGATATTTTTAATGGGATTTCAGGAACTCTTTCACCATTGATTTTAAAATGCTCAGTTACATTCTAACAAGTTTAGTAATATTTTAAACTAATTTTATAGTTTACATGTATTATTCTAAAGTACGATTTTACCATTGTTGATACGATATGACCACTATGTGTTAATCTGGAGTTATTTAATTATTGTAGGTGCTGAAAAAAGGGTTGTTAACAGATCTTGCAGACATTAAAAGAATAATGGAATAAACAACTTTAAACCCAAAATTTGGCAACTTAGATGAAACGGGCAAATTCCTTAAAAAATACAATTTGCTGAAACCAACACAAGGTGAAACAAAATTGGAATAGCCCCATGTCTGTGAAAGAAATCTAATTAACTATCAAAAGGCCCATATGGTTTCACTGGTGAATTCTGTCAAACATTTAAGGAATAAATAATACCAATCTTCTACAAATTCTTTCAAAATATAGAGAAGAATAGAACACTTCTTGGCTTGATTGTGAGACCACCATAATCATAATTCCAAAACCTGACAAAAGACATTAGCAGAAAAAGAAAATATTGAAGGAGAAAGTCAGGAAACACTGCTTCCTGCACTACTCAGTCACCCTATGTACTTGCTTTTCCATTTCATTTCCAACATCAGAAGGCAGCAGAATTGGGGAGAGAGGTGTGTGAGGCGGGGAGAAGCAGTGTATCCTTTAATTTTCTAAGTTTCAGAATAATCTTATCTCTTGGCACTAAGTAAAGTGTGAACTTTTACTTAAAGGATGTGCAAAATAGCTACAATTTTTTTTTCTACTTTTATTCCTAAAATGTGAAGCCAAGGAAACCATTGCAACTGTTTTTATGGCTTTTATTCATATCTGCAAACAAGGGCAAAGGCCTGGGAGGATACATGAAAGTGCTCATTACTTTTTTAAAATGTAGCCTTACAACATGCAACTCCTTCTTTGCTTCACATTGGTGCTAATAGGGTCTGTCAGCCCTGCCTTTCTTGTAATTGAGTAAATTGTGACCTCTGTCTAATCCTTCCCCACCCCCCATTCCCTTTGTGTATGTGTCCACTTACCATCCCGAGAACGTGGGCAGTGATAAATAAGGCATTGAGTAGAGCTCTCTCAATGCTTTGAAAGCAGCGTGATGCCAGCCCTCTAGTTATATTTCTTTAAGTGTTTACGTTTTCCTGTATTCTTTCTCTTGTGTAGCTGGAACCCTGGGGATGCAAAGCCATGAGAGAGGCCAAGAAGCTAACAAAGTAGCTGTCTCCCTTGTTAGCTTGTTCCTTTATTCTTTCAAAACAAGATAAAAACCATCTGGCTCAGGGCATTACATTTTCCTCCCCCATGCACCTCTATAGATGGAGACTTCACCTGCAGTGAGGGTTTACATTGATTAGGGAGGGAGCAGTAATTCAAGCTTCCATCCTCTTCAAGGATACTTTGCAGTCTTTAAAGGTGCTGACCCACTGAGTTAAACTGTCAAGGGAGGATAAAAAAGTATCTTCATCCCAGGAGGTAACAGCTGCCAGGTTTTCAACACCTTGCACACTGTTGGAAAAATGTCACAATTGTCAGCTAAAAGAAAAATGACTCTGTTGTCATCTTCTGTTAATGACTGGGCCTTATCAAAGGAACTACATAAGTCTTTAAAAGGAGTAAGTAGCTGTTTTCCTTGCCTACCACAGCCCTCCTCCCCAATTTCCTATGTTCTAAACATTACCTTGGAGGAGATCCCACAAAAAAAGCAGTGAAGAACTTAAAGTGAAAACATCCAGCATAAGCATGGAAGTGATTGGCATAGCTCCTTTATACAGTTGGATGAATAGGAGGATAAAGTACATCACTGACACAGAAAATGACATTATAGTGTGTATTAACAAAACAACAACAACAACAAAAAGTAATTCATACGCCAGTGAACTGAGAGAAAACATACTGTATTTCTGCTCTTTAGAGGACAATTTGTTTTCAAGCAGCATCCAGATGGGTAAATACCATGACATTTCTTTTTTCAAGAGAGCCACTTCTTTTCTTTCTTTAAAAACAAACTCACCGATTTACTTCCTTTAATAGCTCTGTAATGCTTGTATATGATTTCATTCCCTTCTTTCTGATTTGATTGATGAGGGAAAGGTTTAATGAAGTCCCTGATATCAGGCAGGCAGGGGTTTTTTTCTATTTGTTTTAGGTTAGTCATTTTAATTGTGTTGAGTAATTAGAAGGTACACACAGCCAAGGGAGCTTTGTTCTGATAATTGCTCAAGAAAACCCATTCTCTATCTGCCAGTTGCTTTGTGTTAAGACATTTCTCCCCCTAGTGGCAATAGTAAGCATTTGACTTGGCAATAGGCAAGGTGTAATTGTAATGTGACAAACTATGCTTAAGGGACTATCTTGTAAATACTTTAGTTTGGGGTTTGGCATTATTTCATTATATATGTGTTTTTTCCCCCCTGTGAAACTTCCTACCTCCATTTTTTTTGTTGTTGTTTTTCCTGAGG